TGTGTGAATGCCACCACCTCCCACAGCCTGGCCTAGGCCCAAGAGTAGTGGGGGAACCTATCCTACCTTGTCCCCTCTTCCCTGTCCTGTCTGACACTTTTAACTCTGCCGTCCAGTAAGTAGTCACTTGTCCTGGCACTTGGAAGCAGAGGCAGGTGGTTCTCCAAGTTCAAGACTAGCCTGGTCAACACAATGAGTTCCTGTCTCAGAAAGAAAGAGAGAGAGAGAGAGAGAGAGAGAGAGAGAGAGAGAGAGAGAGAGAGAGAGAGAGAGAGAGAGAGAGAGAGAGAGAGAGAGAGAGAGAGAGAAGGAAAGAAAGAGGTACTGGTAAGATGATTTCTAAGTCCTTGTTGGTAGTGAAATACCTTGATCTTATCAAATCTCACCTTTGGCCCTGTCCTACCTAAGGATTCATCCTCAAAGCAAGACCTGGGTCCCCTGGCCTTTCGCTCTTGAGTTGCTCTGTTATTCGCTGCAGCCAGCTAGATTTAAGCCTGACACCCTCACTCCCTTGGTCTTCCTGACCCCCTGCCTCCACCCCCACTCCTCAACCTCTGCCCTGCCTCCTCCAGGTGCTATGCAGCCTGGTGAGGTCCTAGTCTTCTTGCCAGGGTCCATTCAGCCTCTGTGGCTGTCCTTTATTGTTCCCTGGGCTTGATCCTCGTGACCGCACAGGCTGGGCAATCACTGTATGACTGCACTACATCCCCTGCTTTGTCCAGGAGCCCTTATTAGGAAGTTTGCAGCTAAATGGACCTAAGTTCAAGTCCACTCCTTGCCTCATAAGTCAGTAAGTTTTGAAAAATGAAGGTCATGGTAGTTCCTATTCCATCAGGAAATGACAAGCGTCAAACTGCACGTGTGCCAGGTGCTCCGCCCACTGTCTCAAGAGACTGGTGTGAGCGCCCAACAGCTACCTCTCCTTCCACACACGGAGACGGGCTTATTCCCTAGTTTTTCTTGTCCTACAACCTTTATCCTTGTCTGTGGTGTAAATCATGGGTGAACAGCGAAGGCCATAGCTCGGTCCCTACAGTGTTTGCCTAGCAGGCACACAGCCATGGGTTAAAGCCCCAGCACTGTATAATCCGGGAGTGGTGATATGCACCTGTAATCCCAGCCTTCAGAAGGTGGAGGTTTGGGGTCATCCTCAGCTGCATAGCAAGTCTGAGGCCAGCCAACGATATTTGAGAGGAGACTGTCTCAAAAACAACAGAGTGGATGGGGGGCACTTGTCCCCAGAGTGGATGAGGGGGCCACTTGTCCCCAGATCCTCTCGAGGCTAACTCCCCCGTCTCCAGGAAGATCTCTACAGTCCCTCAGAGGCTGGTGTGCCTGGGTCCTGGGACCCCAGGTCCAGCTTCCTTCTCCCTGGGCAACACCTGAGAGTTGCAGAGATTCCTGGAGGGCCGCTGGGATGAGTGACAGCAGGAGTGGGGGGTTTGGGGAGGTCACCCAAAGGAAAAGAGCTGTCTGCCCTGGGCAGAGTCTGAGATGAAGCAAGATGAATCATGCCACATGCGCAGGGAGACCCCTGGGCTCGTAAGCCTTTGGCTTGTGTGTGCTCAACAGGGCCCGAGGAGCTGGCTCCTCCTCACACCTTTATCTCTGGCTCAGTTGATGGGACCTCTTCTGTGTATCAGGCTCTGAATGCAACCAGTTCAGCCACTGTTGCTCCCTCTCTGCAGCCCATGGGTCAGGCTTGGAGGCAGAAGGACCATATATGCAATAAATGAGGGAACCATGTCTAGACCCTCAAAACCTATCTTTTTTTTTTTTTTTTGAGACAGGGTCTCACTATGTAGCTTTGACTGGCCTGGAACTTGTCATATAGTGATCCAACTGACTAAAAGTATCACCAACCCTGGCTCCAATGATATTTTTGTTTGTTTGCTTGTTTGAGACAAGGTCTCACTATATAACTCTGGCTGTCCTTGGACTCACAGTATTTATAAATTAATTAAATCTCAAGGCCTATTCTTATCCACTTCACCAATCACTCTGTCCCCTGGACAGACTGGGGACCAGGCCCGAGTGGCTCTACCAACAGCAGTCCCTGTCAGTCACATGCCCAGGACAACCTCCCTTACCTGAAGTTTCCAGAGAAAGAGCTGGCCCTTCACCCACCCAGCTTGGCCCTTTAGTAGGAAACTGTGAGAGAAGTGGCCTAAGGACAGAAAGAACTACAGGGAGAAGAGAGCTCAGGTCCCCTGGTGTGGGGTTGGGGGGGGTAGAACACCCTCTAATGAGGGTAAATGGGACCTTAAGTGTGGCATACAGACAGAAAAGGCACTGGCCAAGGAGAGCCCTTGGCTGGGCAGAGGCCAAAGCAGCAGGCCATAGCTGTGACTTTGGGGGTAGGGACAGCAACTTCTGTCAGGAGCCTGTCTAATGAGGGAGAGAGTCCCTCTTCTTCTGAAGTTTCCAACAGGACGGCGACTAGGTTGAAGACACAAATAGCTCCTGACCCGTGGGGGTGGGGGGCACGGCAGGAACGCCAAAGCCAGCTTGGCTAGTCAGGCACCTTGTAGCGTTGCTGAGAGGGCTGGAGATGGATGATGGAACCTTGCCTTGGGAAATGAGATGCAGCCGTAGGACAGTCAATGAGATGTAGTCATAGGACAGTCGAGACATTCAGCTGGGTCCATACAGAGCCAGGAACCCAAAAAGATGAGTGAATTGGGGGCCAAGGAGTCATATAATTGAACCCAAACAGGCTTAGGGTGCCACCAGAAACAAAAAGTCACTCAGGGCCAGGAAAGTCTTCCCAAAAGAAGCAAAGATGTCAGAGTCACAGAAACTACAGTGGCTCTGGACCTTAGATTCAGATGCCCTGTGTGGTCCTAGGTGTATGGAGAGACCCCAGATTCCAGTGCCAGGACCCTCTACCGTGAAAAAGCTCCACCTAGCCTGTCTGGAGGCATACCTCATCAGGGCCTGCCAATGAGCCACGGTACCTGACAGTGTGGTGGGGTGGACAGTCACTCTGAGGTCTGTAATTCCAAGTGGCTTAGAAGTTTAGGAATTGGCCAGGTAGTGGTGGCACATGCCTTTAATCCTAGCACTCAGGAGTCTGCCTCCTGGTCTACAAGAGCGAGTTCCAGGCCAGCCCTCAAAGCCACAGAGAAACTGTGTCTGGAAAAAACAAAAAACAAAGCAAACAAACAAACAAACAAACAGAGGTTTAGGAACCAGATGTACCAGTCCCCTCTGAACCTATAGAGGGGGAACAAGTTTGACCAGGGAGGAATGGGCCCATGGTCTGTGATATACAACTCTCATTAGCAGATGGGGACTTAGAGTTCTGTAAATTGGGGATCACAAGGCCGGGCGTTGGTGGCGCCTTTAATCCCAGCACTTGGGAGGCAGAGGCAGGCGGATCTCTGTGAGTTTGAGGCCAGCCTGGTCTACAAGAGCTAGTTCCAGGACAGCCTCCAAAGCCACAGAGAAACCTTGTCTCGAAAAACCAAAAAAAAAAAAATGGGGACCACAAATCTGCCATCCAGGGAAAGTGACTTTCAAGGGAGTACCACATGTTAGGGCCCTCATCCCAGAAGCCCCTTCACCAAAGCATCCTGGAGATTTTCAAGATGCTTCCAGAGTGAAGGAAGAATTCTCTCAGCTTTGCAGAACATCTGGGGCTGGAGTGGCAGGTGGTTGGGGAGGGGGAAGTCACCTAGTTCCCAGCGTTGATGTCAGTGCCTCCTGGGAAATCGCCTTCTCACCTCTCCTGGGCCTAAAATAAAGCTGGGGGTGGGGTGGGGGTGCTGTCACAAGTTAGAGGCAGCTCCCCAGTCCCCAGCAGAGGCCCCGAGGGAACAGAGGACCCAAAAGGGGGTTTCCTACCTCCGCTGTTGTTCCTTAGTGACCTGTGGTTCCAAAGTATTGGTGTAAAAAATGCTGTGGTCTTGGGAGGTCAGGATGGGGCATAGCAGCGGCTGCACAGCCATACATACTCAGTTCCCAGGCCAGACGTCACTAATCAGAGCCAGGGACCTGCATCATGCCCATGTGCTCCTGGACATCTCAGTCGGGTATCGAGTTCTTAGCACCTCTCCCAGAGGTCAGCGATCCCAGCTCCTCACATTGCGTCAGTCTTGCCCAAGAAGCCCAAGATCTGGTGGAGAGGCTCAGCTGGAGCAACTAGGCTTGGGGGCACAGCTGAGGAGGTGGGTCACAAGAACTTTACCAACTCACCAGAGACATACATCTGGGGGGCTCCAGGTGACTTCTGCTCCTTCAGTAAGATCTGGAGACAAATGGGGCATGCTGGCCTTATATAAACGCCCTGGGTTGTTTGTGTTTTGTTTAGGGGGAGGATTGCAATGCACCTGAGGAACTCAGGACCTCTTTGTCAAGAGAAGGCAGCCTAGGAAACAGACAGTGAATGTAGGAGTGCTGCAGTGATCACCTCTGCTGTGTATGACCTGTGTGTGTGTGTGTGTGTGTGTCCAACAGGACCTCTGTCCCTCAAGCCACCGTGCCCTGCCTTCCCAAGTGCTACAACCTTCTGTCAGCAGAGACGTTGGGGCTGGGGTACCCCATTCAAGAGTACTAAGTCCTGGAGGTGTGCCAGGACCATCAGCCACGCCCCACACCCAATTCCCCAGATGGGACATCACTGAGTCAGAGCCCGCGACCCTTTTCCACCCTGCCAGCCTCCAACTGCCAATCTACGGGTTGGAGATCCTTAAGCGAAGAGGTGGTTGCAGAGGGGTCGAAGGATGGGGTGCACCTGTCGAGGGAGTGCCGGGAAGGGTCTCCGGGCGGTGCCCCCTTTGTCCTACAGCAGCGGTGGCCCGGGCCCCGACTGGGGGGCCGGGGGCGGGCCCAAAGCTCACGTGCTCGCTGCTCGCTTCTTAACCCGGCCCTGCCACCCCGCCGGGATGGCCGCGGCCAGAGCGCACTGAGCCCCGCTCCACCCACCCGCGACCCCGGCCCGCGCGCCCGCCCCGCTCGCCGCCGGCGCTGCCCGCCCCCGCCCTCCTCCCTCCCTCCTTCCCTCCCTCCCTCCCCGCGCCGCTCGCAGCCGCAGCCCCCGGACCCGGAGGATTATGAGCGAACCATGAGGCGGCTGCGGCGCTGGGCGATCGCGGCTCTCCTGCTGCTGCCGTTGCTCCCCCCGCCCGGTGAGTGACCCTGGCCGCCTGGTCCCTGCCCCCGCGCCCCTGGCCGGCCGGTGCACCGAGCTTTTGCGGCGGTTTCTGCTGCAGCTACATTTTCCTGCAGTGCTCCGGGTGACAGCGGGTCCTGAGCGCGGGAGGGTAGGGGAGCGGGAGAGGAGGGAAGGTGTTTCCACCCACCTGTCCGGATCCGGCCGGCCCTACCGCTACCATCCTCCTGAAGCTGGCCGGCGGACTCTGCAGGTCTCTGCGGGTTTGGGGGGGGGGCAGTCGTGACTGTTGGGCAGAATGGAGCTCTCGGCCCCCTCCTCGTGGGGCTCTTCCCTTGTCGAGGCAGCCAGATCCTCCCACCCGTATGCCCACTAGGCTCCAAGGGCCGCGACCGAGTGGGGGCTGGGGCGTGCCCCCCATCCCAAGTCTCCTGCCCCATGGAGGGCAACTGCCTACAGCTATGGCCTTGTCTCCTCAGGTCTTGGGGCCCTGGGTCCCAGTGGAGCTCTACATTGGAGGAGCTCAGCCCAGCTGGGGATCCCTGAGAGCCCAGAGGGCCCCGAGGTCACAGAGCCCAGCCGGCTGGTAAGAGAGAGCTCCGGAGGAGAGGTCCGAAAGCAGCAAGTGGACACCAGGGTCCGCCAGGATCCACCTAGGGGGACGGTGAGTGGTGCTGGGTGGTGAGGTCAGGGGGCTGCAAGTAGCCAGGGTTCGGTGCCACCCACTGAGGCTGCAGCTTCTGCAGCTTCTCTTTCGGTGAAGGGTCATCAGGTGGGGACACGGGGACTCTCCAGCTCCAGGCCCCTCCTATCACTGTGGAAGCCCCCTGCCCTGCACACCTGCAGACACTAGCATGCTCAGGTTTCAGTTTGCTTCGGGTCATCCTTCAACCAGTCCCCAGTGCCCACCAGAACCAGTGGTTCTGTCTGGAACAGGTATTGGGGGCAGGGCAGCACCGTGCAGCTAAGCGCCCAGTCAGGGATTCATGCTCCTAAGTCCCACCAAAGCCACCCCAGTGGTCTTTCTTGCAACAGTGTAATGCTTGCTCCTGCCTCAGTTTCCCGTTGTGCACATGCAGGCTTATTCTTCTTGTCCTAGCTTCAGCTAGGTGGGGCTTGGCGAAATGATGTGAGGCCCAGAATTCATCTGCAAATGTCTCTACCTGTGTCCCGTCTCTTTCAAGCTGCCAGGCCCCAGCCTCCCGGAGGAAGGTTAGGAATGAAGGAGATTAAGTGCAATTAATAATTAATTAACATCATGTGAATAATAATCACCCAGATGGAATATTCATTCAGCATGCCTTAGCTCTCCAGGAGCTAGAAGCTGAAAGTTAGCCGGGCCAACAGGGGCGGCAGAGGGCTGTCCAGTTCAAGCCTGGCAGAGATAGAGGTGCAGAGACACTCAAAGAGGGACAAACCAAGTCTGAGAAGTTTGGCAGCTTGGAGCGGTGGGCAGAAGGAGGAGGGGAACGGATAAGATTGGCGTCTGGCCCTGCCTAATGGACTTGGTTAAAAGCCCTTCAGGGGGCGGGGTGGGGGGACAGGGGAGGGCATAGTTAAGAGATGGAGTGGAGCAGGAAGGACCATGCATAATAGATAGACCATCACTCAGGGCTGTGTCACGGAGGAGAGGGGAGGGGGCTAATGGTCCCGGGTTGGCAGCTGCCGCAGGGGTAGGGGTGGGGGCAGAGGCCAACGTCAGTGCCGCTCTGGCACCCAGGGAGGCAGCTGAATGAGCCTTAGGGATGTCTCGGGCCCAGAGGTAGGGTGTCCTGGTTGCTGCTTGGTTCCCAGTGACGCTTTCTATGAACTGAGTGCTCCACAGTGGACCTGATCCTGCCTGACCACTGCGACTCTGGCTTGAGCTTTATAGGATGCACAAGTTGTGGGGGTCAAGGTCTAGTTGAGAAGCACTGGGGTGAAAAGTAGGGGCTCCGACTGGGTAGGCTGTGCCTTCAGCTAGTTCTTGCTAGTCCCCGTAGCAGGCCTGGGCAATGGGGACAGGTGGGGAAGTGTGTTCTTCTGCTGGGTGAGTGGGCTGGCATGTGTGTGAAGCTGGGCATATGCGGCTGACTGGATCCAACACATAAGAAGTGGCCGAGGTGGGGGTGGGGAGTTCTGTGGACCTGGGGTAGTGGTTGTCTCCGGTGGAGATTTCCCTAGGCCTGAGACCCTTTAGGGACCACATGCATCCTCCCCAGGGGAATAGCCTGGGGCCCTGGCATCTCCATCTCGCAGTTTCCAAAGGCTGGGGAGAGGGAAGGTAAAAGCCAAGGCCATGGGCTACTTCAGGTCAGGCACGCCACTGACAGTGTAATGTGCTATGTGCTAGGATTCCCCTGGTTTTGTGGGAGGGCAGAGCTGGGACAGGAACTAGACCCCAGATGTCACCATCACATCTTGCTGGGGAGGACCTCCTCAGCTATTGAACGTCTGAGTTGGTTAGTATTCATCAGAACTCCAGAAGCCAGGAGCTTCTGTTCCCGTTTCCCAGATGCACCTCTCTTTACCAAGACTCTCAATACCTCATTTCTCTTATTTGGAAGAAGATTGGGCCCGTGTCCTGGAGAACTCCTGAAGACCCAGAAAGCCGTGGTCTCAGGGAGCCTGCAGCTGAGGGGGCACGGGGGACAAGAGGACGTGGTGTACAGTTGGGTTGGTCGTTCACTGCATCGAGGCAGAGTAAGCCAGTAAAGTCCTGGCCCATGAAACTGCTGTGTGGATCTTGCCTGGCCCTGAGAATCACATACTCTTTGGGGGGCCAAAGGGAAGTCAGGCTGTGGTCAGCAAGCAAAGTCAGGACTTGGGGTCCCAGGTCTGCAGACAGTTGTCACCTGAGCCGGGCTGCCACTGGGAGAGCACATTCAAGAACTCCCAGAGCCAATTGCTGTGGTGTGTTTTTGCACAGGAGTTGAGGACAAGTGAGTGAGACCCCAATTCATGCAAGATGGACATGGGGACAGCAAGGTCAGGGACGTGGGCCCCCAGACACAAGGCCATGCTGTCATTTGCTGCTGTGGCAGAGTAGCAGCACAGCTCTGCCTGGGTCTTGGGGAGGAGGGACTCTCTGAAGGAGATGAGTGACTCGAAGCCAAGGACAGGGCATCCGGGGGTCGGTCACCTGTGCAGCTCCAGGTGGGAATTTAAGAGGTACACCGTGACATCTGCAGTCCTCCCACAAGACTCTGGCCTGTGGGCCTGGCCTTACCCACGCCCCCTCCTGGCTGCCTCGAGGAGCCCAGCTGTCCAGAGTCTGTCCCCAGAGGGACTGATGACCCTGTAAGGGGTGACTCTGTCCTCAAAAATTTAGGTCAAATCCAATCACCGGAAATCTGCACCTGTTCTTGTCTGTGGCCTGCTTCCCTGTTGATGAATGGACTCTTTCCACCTGTGCTGGTGGCTGCTGGGGGTGGGGGGTTGGATGAGGGGGCTTCCGGATGAGGCCCCGCCTCTCTGGCTCCTTCCCCCAAGAGGTGGTAATGTCTGCAAGCTCAGAGAGAGAAGTGAGACCCTCCTAGGTAAATCACTCCAAGCAGATCTGGAGCATGAGCCCGTTCATGTCCCCAGCACAGGAGGTAAACAAAGGAAGTATTTTACCCTTAAAGCCCCGTTCAGCTGTCAGGCTGTGGAGGTCCTTCAGATTGGGATTCCCGACACTGACTGTAATGGTGTGTTGACTGGGCTTCACACCATGCTCAGGACACCCCACTTTAACGGTCGATAAGCTGAGGATGGGGTGACTGGCTCCTTAGGTCTTATACTGCCCATCCACCCCAAAGAGTGTTGACACTTGGATAGGGAGGAAGGTGACAACTGCTCCTGCTCCAGAGGATTAAAAATCATTAAAAGGTGAATTAGTGATTATGTGTGTGTATGTGCATATGTGTATGTATATGTGTGCATATGTCTGTGGGTGATGTGTGTTTATGTGGGTGCGTTTATGCATGTATGTGTGTAGTGTTTGTGAAAACTGGATACTTAAGCCGGTGGTGGTGGCAATGCATAACTTTAGTGCCAGCACTCAGGAAGCAGAGGCAGGCGGATCTCTGTGAGTTCGAGGACAGCATGAGTTCCAGGACAGCCAGGGCTACACAGAAAACCCTGTCTCATAAAACCAAAAAACAAACAAACCCAAACCAGATACTTAGAGACTGCGAGCTGTAAGTGGGTTGAGGCTTCTGGGGACTGGCAGATGTTGCTCTACAGATGAGGATTTAGAGGAAATGGGGTTCAGAGTAACTGAGGGGCAGTGCCTGGAGGTTGTGGGGAGCAGGACTCTGCAGCTCAGGTTTCCTGGGGCACCCTAGAATTCTAGCAATCTTTAGCACCCCTCTCCCACCTCTGAGATGCTAGGTATGAGGCAGAGGCCATTGTCCTTCTCTGTGCCCTACAGTCTGGCTGGGCTCCACCCAGGTCATGGAGAAAGTGAGGCATGGGCAGCTGGAAGCAAATGCCTGTCAGGCAGGGAGGCCCTGCCACAGGACAGAGTCGGGTGGAGGGTCAGTCACCTGCCAGGTCACCACGGCTGTCATGCAGACACAACCTCCATCCCTGGAGTGAAACTTCACCTGGCACCTCCCCAGCATGACCCTGGGCTTCTCACCACCTGGTGCTGCTCCCCGAGGATCTGCCAGCCCCGGCAGGGTGAGATCAAATGAACAGAGCACCTGAGCACCAAGGTCGCCAAGAAGTCGGAGGCAAGCGCAGGGCGCCGGGTCATGACCAGTCCTGAGAAGTACCGAGCAGGGAGAGGCCAAGGTGGCCAATTGCTGTGGCTTCATGTCTGGAGGGCCCTGGGGACTGAGAGCAATGGGAGGAGGCGTGACTGGGGCTGCTGCAGGGACAGTGGGACAGCCTGGCAAGGAGAGCTACTGACTTTGGTAGAGCATTGGCCAAAAGCTTGACAGGGATTTGCAGGTCCTGGAGCCAGCAGCCCAGTGCCTCGAACAGGTCTGAGTTTGCATTATCTGGCTCTCCCTCGGATAGTGGACTGAGCTGGGTCAGGCCAACACGCCTTGGTGCCTGAATTTTTAGCTGTCTCCCACTTCCTGTACAGAGTCCTCTTGTGACTGGTATCCTCTGAGCTGAGCCCAGGTGCACTGGAGAAGGGTGGTGTATCCCACAGCCGAGCTTCACTGGCTGCAGAGTGTTGGAGAAAGAGCGCCCTGCCTTGTCTCTCACAGCTTTTCCCCCAGAATGAGATCAGCATGGCCCCCAGCAAAGCCAGCCTCCCAATTCCAGTGTGAACTCACCTTCATCAGAGGGAAAATCTAGGGCTCAGGGAGACTTCTGAGCCATCCCTAAGGTTGTACAACTTAGAGCAGGACGAAGGGAAGGGTTCTGGAGAGCTACTTCTCTGGGCAGCCAGGAAAGGGACAGACAGACAAGCAGGAGCAGTCCTGGGGTGAGGAGAGCAGAGATACCCTGGCAGAGCTAAAGGAGAGAGGACCTGAGCCAAGACAGGCCTACGGAGGGGACAACAGACTTGGCCAGGTTAAGGGCTTGGGGGGAGGCAACAAGAACTCATTGCCCTTGACTTTCTATTTTGAGTCTGATCGATGCTCTGGGGGCTTAAGGTGGAGCTTGGAACCTCAGATGGCCTGGGATAGGGTAAGTCTGTGTCCTTGGGGCTCACAGGTCTGCTTTCCCAGGCCTGGCCTTTGGCTGCTCCTTGCCTGCATTCCCAGAGCCTTCTATGGCTCTGGGCTGACTTCCATCTCCTGTCATCTTTCTAGAAGAAATCTATTCCCTGGGATTGAATATCAGCCTCTGGTTTTTTAAATTTTTCTTCCTTTTCTGTTTGGGAGACAAGGTCTCGGTATGGAGCCAAGACTGACATAGAGCTATGGAGCCGAGGCTAGCCTCAAACTCATGATCTTCCTGCCTCATCCTCCAAGTGCTGCGATTGCAGATTGTATCACCACACAGGGCATTAGCGTCTCTTACCTATGTGGCCTTGTGCACACCAATTAGCATCTCTGTGCTGGTTCCAGATGTCAGGATTGTTGGGGAGATGGAATGCGCCAGTGCTCATGAAGCCTTCAGACCAATGCACGGGCCCTCAGCAGTGTTCAGAAAGAGTTAGTTGTGATTAGGTGGTAGAGGAGTCAACTAGGCGTGGGCTGGGAAACCCGTTGATCATCCTGTAAGGTGTTCTCCAGCACAAAAGCCAGCCAGAGAATAGACACTCCTGCCTGGACAGCAGAGTGACAAGGCTCTTGCCCGGCATTTGGAGGTCTGCCTCCTAAATAGATGGGGTAGAAGGCAGACTCCAACCCCTGAATCAGCCCGAAGACCTTTCCAAGTGTTTTGGAGGACCAAAACAAATTGCCAGACTGGGGTGGGGCTTAGGCCCCTAAGGTGTGTCCCTAAGGTGGTTGTAACTCTCAACAGCTCCCTCTGAGCCCAAAGCTCTGCTGCCCTTCCCAGGAAGCGGGGTGAAGCTTTCCCTCCAGCCTTTGATGTCTCTGTTTTCCCACCCCCACCCGCCAAGCAGCTGGGCACCCAGGCAGAGAGGGCAGCCATCTTGCTCAGGTCTAGCCCATTGCCATGGCAACCTGGAGCCTCCCAGCCCCACTGCATATGCCCCTTTGAAAAATTTATCAGGAAAACTTCCGTGTTTAAAAATTAACTGTGGGGCTGAAATATTAAAGATGAGCTGTTTTGGGCAGGCAAAGGGCAATGGATTGGAGCCGTGGGAGCTCCACTTTCCTCTCAGGATGGTCCCTGCCCTTGCCCAGCCCCAGGGCCCCAGCGGTCAATTTCCACCTGCTCCACGTGCCTGAAATCCCAAGTCCCCCTGTGTAGATTGCAGTTGGGGCCTGCTTCCCTTCCCCTGCCCACCATGAGCTGGGGACCCTTCTGCCTTTCCATGGAATGTCTAGGGGTTTCTTTTTGTTCCGGGGAACAGCTCTGAGAACCTAGCATGAGGCCATAGGCAAGTTAAGTTGTATGTCTCTGTCCCTGATTCTCAAGACCAACCCGGAAAGTAGCCAGAGGACAGAGGGTGCCCAGGACCTGGGTGGAGGGTGAGCTGTGGCCAAGGTTGACCAGCTGTCCCCAGGAGTCTCAGAGGACAAGGGCCTCAGCTGCTGGAGCTTGGCTGCTCCCCCCCAAGGTTCCTCTGGGGTTCCCTACCCCCACTTCAGGGTGACTCCTCTCTGCCCTTCCCCACTCCAGCCCGTGCACCTGGCCCAGGTGAGTTTCGTCATCCCAGCCTTCAACACAAACTTCACCCTGGACCTGGAGCTCAACCAGTGAGTGGAGCCTGGAGCCATTGGGTGGTGGTGGGCGGTGGGCAGTGGGCGGTGGGCAGTGGGCAGTAGGCGGTGGGCAGTGGGGCTTGGTTGGCTGGGAGTCCTGGGGGACTTGGATCCTTAGCTGGGGTAAGACCTAAATGGGACCTGGCCTCACCAAGTGACCTTCCCTCCTCCTGCTGTTTCAGTCATCTCTTGTCCTCTCAGTATGTGGAACGCCACTTCAGCCGGGAGGGGACAACTCAACACAGCACTGTGAGTGGCCCCGGAAGGGATCCAGTGGGAGAGAGGTGTTTGTTCTGTGGTCACAGTTTCAAGGGTGGGGCTGTAGGTGTGCATCAGAGGGCCCTGGTCTGACATGTGTGGGAACTTTGATCTTCAGAACCCCAGCACAGAGAAATGGTGGAGGACAGGGAGGTGGCTGGTAGAGGTATGTCAAGGACACACTCAGCATGGTCTGGTGTCTGGGGACCTCCCATCCCTCCCCACCTTAGAGGCTCTGTGGACCGGCAGTTAGGAAGGGCAGGTGGTGTGGATTCCTCTCGTTCAGGCTGAGGTCTGACTTCCCTGGCCTCCTCCCTTGCATGGAGGTGTAAAATATGTATGTTACATATTATGTCATGTTAAGTATGTCCCCAGAACCTCCTGGGGGAGTTATGGAAGAAGTGATAGCCCCTTCCTTGGTTGGGGACTGCTGGGGACCAAACCCAGGGCCTTGCACATCCTAGACAACAGCTCCACCCCTGAGCAGTCGACCAAAATACCTCCTCTTGCCCTGGGAGGCCTGGATGTCTGTCACACTAGGGTCCCAGGCCTGGAGGCCCGAGAGCCTGAGCAGAGATGAATGAGTGTCTATAAATAGACACTCCCCCCCAGCCTGTTCTGGAACTGGAGCACAAGTAATTCCGCAGGAAGCAGAGTTGGGAAAGGCGGGTGCTGCTGGTCCCTCTGACCTACAAGCCAGGTCAGGAGAACCCATGCTGTCACAGTCCCTCAGCTGCAGACCACATGTGACTGTGAGCTTGTGCACGAGGGCTGGGGGTGCATCTACAGCAGGTCCTGGTTAGATGACACACTGCATGTGATGTGCTGAGAACAGGTCCTGGGGGGTGGCAGATACTATGGGAAAGCCATCTGCTGATCTCAGAGGAGTCTGGGATCCCTCACCAGCCCCAGCAAACAGCCAGGAGCTGCTGCTGTGGCCCAATGTCCTCATTTTATGGGGTAGATGAAGCTGACCCAGAAAGTATTAGGGGACAGAGGAATTAGAAGTCCCACTGGCTTAAAGCCCCTGGTATTCATGAGACCGCAGTCCCTGCTGCCCCCCTACTTACGTGCTGGGGCACCAGGGTGTCTTACAGCTCTGCTGTTCCACAGGGGGCTGGAGACCACTGCTACTACCACGGGAAACTCCGAGGCAACCCACACTCCTATGCTGCGCTCTCCACTTGCCAGGGGCTGCAGTGAGTATGGAGGGCACTGGACAGTGGGAGGGAGCTCTGCCTGCCCGGGATGGTGGGGAACCTTGCCTCTCTCCACAGCGGGGTCTTCTCTGATGGGAACCTGACTTACATCATAGAGCCCAAGGAGATGGCTGGGCCTTGGGGACCCCCACAGGTGAGCAAAGCCTGCACAGGCCTTCCTGCCCTCCCGGTGGCCATGCTGTGATCTCCCACAACAGCTGTGGCACCTCCTCCTTCCCTGCTGTAACCTCAGCCTCACCGCCCTGGGTGACCCCAGCTTTGGTTCCTGCCTCCTGTGCCCCCATCTCATCTCCAATGTCCCCTCTGTCCCCCAAGTGACCTCTCACTGGGCTCCAGTGTCCTCTGCCCCTGTCTCTCAGGGCGCCCCCAGGTCTTGACCCTGGAATCTGAGCATCTGGGAGATCAGATCCGACATGGGAGCTCTGGCCAGTTCCGGGTCACCCCAGGGTGGGGTGGGGGAAGGGCTGGAGCTGCCTCCAATCTGGACCCAGAGCAGACCTGGTTGGCTCCCCAAGAACTCATTCCCCTCATTGCAGGGACCCCTTCCCCACCTCATTTACCGGACCCCTCTCCTCCCAGCCCCCCTCGGATGCAGGGAACCAGGTAAGGGAGGGGGCGGGGGGTGGGGCTGGCCAGCTGGGCCCCTCTTACCTGCTGCTCCCCACAGGCTGCCTGTTTGCTGTCCCTGCCCAGTCTGCTCCTCCTACCTGGCCCAGGCTGAGAAGGAAAAGGCAGGTACGGGGCCCGCATAGCCTCGGGCTGCAGAGACCTTAGACTGTGGTTCAGGGCAGGTCATCCCCACCTATGGCTGAGCAAAGGAGAGCTCAGAGCGATGAGGTCAGGATCCAGGGAACTACCTCCCGGAAGGGCCCCTCAACTCCTCCTTAACACTGTGTCTACACAGTCCCCATTTTGGGGCCCTCAGACACTGTATGTCCTCTGCTCTCATTTCTAGGCTGGGAGGGATGGCACTTTCTGCCAGTTGGGGGGCGAGAGACCAGAATGCCCCCTCCCCACAAGTCTGCCCATGGTTTGACCATGAGCCCAGACATGGAGGGGACTGATTCCAAGTGCCCACCCACCCTCCAGGTCCGCAGGGGCCACCCCACAGTGCACAGCGAGACCAAGTATGTAGAATTGATTGTGATCAACGACCACCAGCTGGTAAGTTCCCAGGTTGAGGGGGACCCTGGGGGGAGAGGCCCAGGGGAGCTTGGCCTTCTTCCCTGCCTCTTCCCGGCAGTTTGAGCAGATGCGGCAGTCAGTGGTTCTCACCAGCAACTTTGCAAAGTCCGTTGTGAACCTGGCAGATGTGGTGAGCAGCACCCTGCTCCCCCGCCCGCTCCCTCCCCCGCCACACATCCAGGCATCCAGGGGCCACTGTCAGTCACTGATCCCCATTTCTCAGAAACACAGACTGGGCTTCCCTCCATCCCCCTTCATCTTCTCTCTGGGCCCAGATATACAAGGAGCAACTCAACACAAGAATTGTGCTGGTTGCCATGGAAACGTGGGCGGATGGGGACAAGATCCAGGTGCAGGATGACCTATTGGAGACCCTGGCCCGGCTTATGGTCTACCGGCGGGAGGGTCTACCTGAGCCCAGTGACGCCACCCACCTCTTCTCGTGAGTTGCTGGCTGCTTGTTCTCACTGCCTGTGCCAGAAGCCCTCTCCAGAGTCCATGTCTGCCTTGCATCAACCACGCGCAGCAGCTGGGTGTCCTCTGCACAGTAGGTTGTGCAGGAGATGTGCTCTTTGCTCTCCCTTGCCAGACTGTCCATCATCCCTACCTCAGTGACCCTACCTCGGGACAAACGCAATTCAAGGCTCTCAAACCTCTGGTTTGGTTTATGGGAGAATGAACCCAAACAGGACAGGGGCTGACCTGAGGTCACCAGGTTGATGTGATGGCCTAGAATCCACTGCTGCTCCTGCGAAGTCATCCTGACAACTGTCTCCCTTCTAGGGGTAGAACCTTCCAGAGCACCAGCAGTGGGGCAGCCTATGTAGGGGGAATCTGCTCACTGTCCCGGGGTGGAGGCGTGAACGAGGTGAGCGCGGAGGGTCGTGGTGGGAGGCCAAGGGGGCAGCTTGCTAAAACACAATGGCTATTGGAAAGATGCAAGACATCCTGTGCTCCATCCCCCCTGCCCCTAGTACGGCAACATGGGTGCTATGGCGGTGACTCTGGCCCAGACGCTAGGGCAGAACTTGGGCATGATGTGGAATAAACACCGGAGCTCGGCAGGTACCAACCCCGAATCCCATAGCCATCTCAGGTCCAACCAGAACCTCAAGAGGTGAAGGGGGGCAGTGAGGGGGCTCACCCTATCTCATTGCCTCTTAGGGGACTGCAAGTGTCCAGACATCTGGCTGGGCTGCATCATGGAGGACACTGGGTGAGTTCTCGGGGAAGAGTTTGGGGTAGCACTGGCAGTCTGGATAGGTGGCTTCAAGAGGCCCTGCTCATGGGACCACTCAGGATTCCAAGAATACAGGTTATCAGCAAACCGTGCAGGGAGGCTAGGACGCCCAAATTGGCTAAACTGAAGCATGCTCTCTGGCCACTGGGAGGCGCCCGAGCCTAGTGCGAGCTGCCGTCCCTCCAGAGCGTTCCCACACTGGGCTCTTTGTCCCCGAGGTTCAGTGAAGCGAACGCCAAGTGACGTTCTCCACCCATTCCTAGATGGGCATGTGGGATTGACTGTCGTGCAATCACTGGGCATTTCCTCAGCCTCCTTGTAGTGGTAACCAACTCTCCCGAGGGAGGGCTGGAGGGTTGCCCCAGCAGCACAGTCCTGTTGCCTGCCCAGGTTCTACTTGCCCCGCAAGTTCTCGCGCTGTAGCATCGATGAATACAACCAGTTTCTGCAGGAGGGAGGCGGGAGCTGCCTGTTCAACAAGCCCCTCAAGGTACCAGGGGGGGAGAACCGGGAAGCGAGGGTGGGCAGGGTCCCAGCCAGGCTCCCGACATCCCCTCCCCCTCCAGCTCCTGGACCCTCCCGAGTGCGGGAACGGCTTCGTGGAGGCGGGGGAGGAGTGCGACTGCGGTTCGGTTCAGGTGAGCGGGTACGGGTGGTCCCCGGTGTGGGCCCGGGCTGGGAAGGGAGAGTGCTGCGTGGGGAGGATCGAGGATAAGGGCTCGCCCTCCTCTCCGCTACTCTCAGGAGTGCAGCCGGGCGGGTGGCAACTGCTGCAAGAAATGCACCCTGACTCACGACGCCATGTGCAGCGATGGGCTCTGCTGTCGCCGTTGCAAGGTGAGAAGGCCCCAACGAGCGAGGGAGGAGGGAGGGCGGGGCCGGGAGCAAAGAAACGATTGGATGCTCTCGACAAGAGGCGGGAGGGAGGAGGAGTGGATTATATGTGTGGACCCGGCCTGTCCCAAAGGAAATATCAGTGGGGCGGGGATGGGGTGAGGGGGTTAGAGCTGGAGGCCGGGAATGGGGAATGATGTGGGAAATTACTCTTAGATGTTGAGGACCAAGAGGGACAGGAAATAAGAAACTGGCCTTGGGAGCCAGGTTCCAGGACAGTAGGTTACGCTGGGTGGGCAGCGGCGAGACATTTATCCTTTCCAGAAACGCATGCATGCTTTTCCTAGTACGAGCCACGAGGGGTCTCCTGCCGAGAAGCGGTGAATGAGTGTGACATCGCTGAGACCTGCACCGGCGACTCAAGCCAGGTCTGCCAAACCGGCTGTCCTTTGGAGGCTCAAGCAAGACAGCCCCTTCCCCTATAAGTCTGGATCTGAAGAGCTGACTACTCTTTTCCCCCTTGCTGCTTAACAGCTGGCTACACCACCACTAGCCGGCCTCAGCTTTTTCCTCTGAGAATGGGGTCCTTCAAGCCTCCTAGCTCGGTCCCTTCAGTTATTAAACAAGCATTTGTAGTCAGGCTGGCACTCCGACTGCCTAGCGCCAGTGTCTAAGTGTATGCTAGAGATCCGGTAGAGACTGGTTAATAAGATTTCAGGTATAATGGGAGCAAGAAACTGAGGAAGCCCAGAAAAGCTTAGGGTTTTACCAATCAAATCCTCAGAGCCAAACAGGCCCCTGACCTTGATGTGGAAGAGTCATGGAACACGAGGCCCCTTTGGGAAGAATTTTCTCCCTACATTCTTCCCCCTGGTACCTCCGCTCAGGCCTGGGCAACTCTGCTCAACCAGCCCCTCTCTCTACAGTGTCCCCCCAACCTTCACAAACTGGATGGGTACTACTGCGATCATGAGCAGGTATGGGGGTGGGGGGACCCTCCTATCTGAACTCTGTGCAGTCTTGTCTCCACTCAGATCCTCCAGTGTCCTCACGCTTTGTCTCCTATGGGTCACAGGGCCGTTGCTATGGAGGCCGCTGTAAAACCCGGGACCGGCAGTGCCAAGCCCTTTGGGACCATGGTGAGTCCAGCTGGGTATGGGGAACAGAGGCGCGGGGGGAAACCTAGAATTGAGAGCTAAGCTGGCACTGCTTTTGGTTGGACATGGCCTGCACTGATGTGTGGCTCCGGACGACCTTGGGCGTCAACCCAGGGAACGGGCAGAGTATTTGACGTGAGGCTCTAAGAGACCCAGGAGTCGGCAGAACGATGCTTCCCCACCACCTCTAGGGGCTGCAGATCGCTTCTGCTATGAGAAGCTGAATGTCGAGGGGACAGAGCGTGGGAACTGTGGGCGCAAGGGATCTGGCTGGGTCCAGTGCAATAAGCAGTAAGTAGGCGTCTCTGTTAGGCACCGGGGCTCCGGGCTCAGGGAATCTACAGAGGTGGAGGCAGCAGGCTCTAGGAAGAGTCTTGTGAGGCTGGGGATGGGGTGGGTGGGGTGGGGTGAGGTGGGGTGGAGTGGGTGGGTGGGGTGGGTGGGGTGAGGTGGGGTGGAGTGGGTGGGTGGGGTGGGGTGGGCTGGTTCAGCACTTGGGTCTGAGGAACAATTTGGGCTCATCGTCCCCATGTGCCCCACCAGGGATGTGCTCTGTGGCTTCCTCCTATGCGTCAACATCTCTGGAGCTCCTCGGCTAGGGGACCTGGGGGGGAGACATCAGCAGTGTCACCTTCTACCACCAGGGCAAGGAGTTGGACTGCAGGTGTTGTCTGGGACCATGGCTGGGGAAGGAAGTGGGATGGGGACAGGAGGGCTGGGACTGAGGCCGGTCATTCCTTCCCTCCAGGGGAGGCCACGTGCAGCTAGCTGATGGCTCAGACCTGAGCTATGTAGAGGACGGCACGGCCTGTGGACCCAACATGCTGTGCCTAGACCACCGCTGCCTGCCAGCCTCTGCCTTCAACTTCAGCACCTGCCCGGGCAGTGGGGAACGCCGGATCTGCTCCCACCATGGGGTGGGTGTCTGGAGGACAGGGGCTGCACGCTGGAGGCTCACACGGGGACATGGCTTTGCTTACCTGTGCTGGCCCACCTCACCTGTAGGTTTGCAGCAATGAAGGAAAGTGTATTTGCCAGCCAGACTGGACAGGCAAAGACTGCAGTATCCATAACCCCCTGCCAACGTCCCCTCCCACCGGGGAGACCGAGAGATACAAAGGTAAGGCTGAAGCTGCCCAGTGTGGCCTGTATGACCCATTTTCCATGCCTGTCCTGCCAACCGAGCCCTGCCCTCCTCCCCAGGTCCCAGCGGTACCAACATCATCATTGGCTCCATCGCCGGGGCTGTCCTGGTCGCAGCCATCGTCCTGGGCGGCACGGGCTGGGGATTTAAGTAAGAGACACGCGCTCCCTAGATTCCCCTCCAGGTGGTTGGGGGGTTCAGCACCCCAGACTCATGGAGCCTAATGGCCTCCCTGACAGGTTAGCTCACCCAGAACTCACACAGGGTCTTGCTTGAACATTTAAAACAATTCCCTGCCCATATTTAAACAGCAGATTTTACAGTCACCGCCTTGACTGGAGCCTCTTGAAAACTAGCTGGAGGTTGGGCTCAGTAGGCTCAGTGCATCCAGCACTGCCATGGGAGAGGTGGGTAGGACCTGTCTGAGATGTCCCCCAGTCCCTATCCACATTCAGCCCATGAACCCCAGGACATTGCAGTTAGGGTGTGGTCTAGACTCTACCGGGCATCTCAAGGACATGGGGAGACTTAGTGGCAGAGCCAGGATTTGAACCCTCCACCATTCTGGGAAAGATCTCCATGCTCCATTTGTGAGGCAGAAGGTCTTCCTGGGATAGAAGGCAATTCCTTTAGAGAACAGGAAGTTCATACAACTCCCTTTCCTCTCTCTCTCTTTCTCCCCATCCGCCCTGTCCTCTCCTTGGCTACCAAAGAAACATCCGCCGTGGAAGGTATGACCCGACCCAGCAGGGGGCAGTGTGATGCCGGCCACGTCATCCCTCCCGCTGTCCTTGTCTCCATTTCATTCGTCCCCTTGCATTCTGTTGACCTGGAGCTGGGATGATCCGATTCCCGCAGCCCTGCAGGCAGCCTGGGAAGCGTCCTCAGCCTGCGCTCTGGCCCTTCCTCCTGCCCACCCGCCTGTTGGGCCCTGCTCCGCCTTCCGCTGTCCTTTCTACAGCCGGGTCCCATGGCCGGGTGGGCGCTGGAACTGTGCCCCGCAACCCCTGCCCTTAGGAGGGGGCCTCCCTCTGCGTCCTGTCCCATCCGTTTTGTCTACCATGTCACCGCTGTCTGACCTCTGCCAGAACCCCTCCTGGCCAGCCTGTGACTAGATGCCTCCAGGACCTCTGGGGGGGAGGAGGGCAGCTGGAGGGCTCTCCCTCAGGGCCCAGCCGCATGTCCTCTCCTGATGCCCTCTCTCCATTCCAGGTCCGGAGGGGCCTAAGTGCCACCCTGCTCCCTCCGAGCCTGGCACCCACCGTCTCGGCCCTGAACCACGAGGCTGCCTCCACCCTGCCACAGAGGGAGGCACCATGCAAATGTCTTCCAGGTCCAAACCCTTCAACTCCTGGCTGTACAGGGGTTGGGGGTTGGGGCTGTGGCCTCGTCTTTCAGACCACCTGGGTGGAGGGGCCCGGAGGAGGGCGCTTCCTGCCCAGGCCCCCACCCCTCCTCATGTGGCTTTGGCCTTGCACACATCTCCCCCTGTGAATGTAGCTTCCATCGTCACAGACCGCCACAGCTCAGGTTGGGGCCTGGAGAGGTGCCTGGTGGGGGCAGCTAGCCACCAGTGGTCACAGCTGGGGGCCCCTCTTTAAAACCAGGCAGCTGGAAGCAGGGTGGTAGCTCTCTGGGACCTCACCGGGAAGGAGCTGATCTCACGTTTTTTCTCTTCCTTTTCTTTCTTTCTTTTTTAAGTGACTCTTAACTGATGAATGTAACCTTGGGGTCGCTGGGACCAGGGGAAAGTTGTAGGGATGTTTTGACACAGGAGGGCCTGGAAGATCCCTCTCTGGGAGGCCCACACTGAACCCTGTCACTGAACCCAGCAGGGGCTGAGCAGCCCTGTGTGCCCCGCCTCCACCCAGCTTACAAGTTTGAGTGCTGATCAAAACCAAAGCTGCCTATCCCGTGCCCACTGCCTAGCTCATGGGTGCCATGACCCCCGTCCCAGACAGTCTTCGATTCCAAACCAACCGTCCTGTCCCTGCCAGGGTGCATGCATTTGGGGGTGTAGAAAATATAGTCCCTAAAATAAAATGGCACCTTTCCCCTTTCAAGAAGGGTGATTCTGGGGCTGTCTCAGGGTTCAAGTGCCCCCTGATGTGGCCTGGCTATTCCAGAGCAGGTTACCTTCCCAGGGAAGGCTCTAGGTAGGGAGAACCAGGAGGACCACGTGCCCCAGGATTAGTGCCTGTGGTATGTGAGAGACATCAGGAAAGGGCAGACTCATGGTTGATTATAGACTACGAGGAAAGTCCTCGAGGTCCCTCTCAAAACCTTTATTCATCACCCGCATTCTGGGGCTGACTAGTGAATTTACAGATGTTCCTCTGTCCTCCCTCCTCTGGTCCTCGCTGCTCAGCCCTCCCACGCAGTCTGTTGAAGCCTGCCTTCTGGACCCTATGTGAGACAGATGAGCTCTGGCCCCTTGCCCTTAAAGCCAGCTGGCCAGGCAGGACGGAGCAGGCTCCCTTATGGATGAAAGCCACAAAAGAAAGGAACCCCCTTCTTGGGGACACCCCACTCAGGTGTGTGGCTCTGGATACTCCAGGGCCAGAGAGTTGCTGGTTTGTTTGTGTTCATCCTATTTCTGAGGCCTCTTTGAGAAAGGTTCATGAAAAAAAAAAAGACTTCATTTCTCTAAACCACCCCAGCGGCACCCTGGAGCCTAGGACCCATTGGCAGCCTTTGGGATGGCCAGATGGTGTTGGCTACAGTGGGGTCCTCAGCACTGAGCCCCAGCTGGCACTGTCCTAGTGACAAGACAGACTCAGGCCACCAGCCCCACTAGCTGAGGATAGGGGAAAGGCTGGGTTTCGCATTGTTGCTAGAGTTCCTTGAGACCTTTGTTAGGTGACATAACCTGCACACAGGGGACAGCGCACCTGGGCACAGACATGTGGATCTAACCCTCTGCACCACTGTGAAGGCCTCTGCATACAAGGGCATGACCATGTGTCCACGTGTCCTTGGTGGGAATTGAACACAAGACTTCCCATGACCAGTCCACCCTGGTCCCTGACTTTCTGTATCCCCCTGCCCCACCCCAGAGGGCCTGGCCTGGCAGCACCCAGGAAGGAATGGGGGATGGGACTGCATTCACCTGGCCTGGACCTGGGACCCCACACATCCTGTAAATATGTCATCTGGGCTGGGGAGGCAGGGCCAGGGGCCCACATTAAAGATTAAAGATCACACTCTGGGCTTCCATGGAGCTCACCCCAACCCGTGTCTCTCCTCTCTCTGTAAGTGGTCATTCCAAGTCAACCCTCTCCACACTAACTCTGGAGTATGGCAATCCCCCTGCAGAGGACACTGCAGCACCCAGGACAGTGAGGGAAGGGAGGGGTGTGGTCCCTGTGAGGAAATGGGCAGTGGGTAGCGGCTAGATCCTCCTTCCTCACAGTCCCAATAATGACACTGTGTCCCTCTGGTTTCCAACAAGCAAAATTAGAGGTGACTGGTGGAGGGGGGCAGAAACATGGACTCTGGGACTTAATTCCCTAATTACTGAAGCCAGAGAGGCCTTGTGACTTTTCTAACACCTTTGTCCCATTAAGCCTGGCTGGGTGACACTGGATGAAATGGGACCATCACTGGCCAAAGGGCCAAGTATGAGCCTGGAACCCACTGCCGTGCCCCACTCTGGAACCCACTGCCGTGCCCCACTCTGTGTGGGGAAAGGGTGTGGAGAGCAGAGCCACTGGAGAGAGAATCTACCGTGAGAGAGGAGACTGGAGGGAGGAGTTAAGGGAGGTGTGGGGACACCAGACCTTGAGCAGAGACCCACTTCCCAATCGGCCTGGGAGTAGGCAGCTGTAAGACAATGTTTACTAAAAACATGCTTACTAAAAACAATACAATACCCGGGGCAATAAGTTCCTGGAAAGGGCTTGCCCACGGGAACCGCCTCTTCTGACACGCCCAGATCAGTTTTTGGTGTCAGAGCAGAACCAGCCAGGGGAGAGGAGAGAGCAGAAGCTTTTCTGGAGGGAGGCCCTTCTTGGGAAGTTTTCTTGAGCCTTTTTGGGGCCTGCTTAAAGTTTTCTTTACATCGTTGAACAAGTCTCTGTGTTGTCAATCCCCGACACCCTCCGCATGTTCTCGGACACAGGCTGCACAGCGGACGCGGCAGGGAGGGGAAAATAAAGAGGGAAGGAAGGGAGAAAATGCAGCAGACCTGCAGATGCAGGAACTGGCACTGGTCCAGGATTGAAGCCACCTGGGTTCATAAGCAGAAGTAGGGCACGGGGCCACATCCGACCTAGACTCCTGCCAGTCCCCTGTGCTCCAGCATCTAAGTACCGTATCTCCTGAGACTGTGGCAGCTTCTTTCCATTCAGTGCACTGGGGCGAGGCACGGTCATCGCAGGCCTGTCAGTCATCCCACAGCCCAGGCTTGCCCCACTCCCTTGCTCTGGGCCGGATCATCCTATTTTTAACTTTCTCCACAGCTCCTGTCTCTCAGGTCCGCCATCTCCCTGCTTAACCCCTTGTCAAGTCCCAGTTTGTTTGATGTGCCCCGTCAGTGCCCCCAAAGGTAGGAGTGTGGCAGCTGGCAGACAGGTGGCCAGGGCAGGCAGAGGGCACAAACAGGGTCACCACCTGGTCTACACCGTGAGTTCCAGGTCAGCTGGAGCTACATAGTAAGACTGTCTCAAAGAACCAAGATAAAGTCCGCTGGATCACCTCCCATACTGAGTCTGTATTTGCACCCTTCAGCTAGTCAGCACCCCCCAGACGGGGTTCTCCATGAGGCACAGGAATGGAGTTCAGCCATGGTTCCCAGTTACATCTTCTCCAGTTAACAGTGACTCCTCTGTTCTCCCTCACCAGGTGCAGATGGTCAGGGTGGAGGCTGAGGTCAGATTGGAGGCTGGGTCAGATTGGAGGCTGGGTCAGGGTGGAGGCTGGGTCAGGGTGGAGGCTGGGTCAGATTGGAGGCTGGGTCAGGGTGGAGGCTGGGTCAGGGTGGAGGCTGGGTCAGATTGGAGGCTGAGGTCAGATTGGAGGCTGGGTCAGGGTGGAGGCTGGGTCAGGGTGGAGGCTGGGTCAGGGTGGAGGCTGGGTCAGATTGGAGGCTGAGGTCAGATTGGAGGCTGAGGTCAGGGTGGAGGCTGAGGTCAGGGTGGAGGCTGAGGTCAGGGTGGAGGCTGAGGTCAGATTGGAGGCTGGGTCAAGGTGGAGGCTGGGTCAGATTGGAGGCTGAGGTCAGGGTGGAGGCTGGGTCAGGGTGGAGGCTGGGTCAGGGTGGAGGCTGGGTCAGATTGGAGGCTGGGTCAGGGTGGAGGCTGGGTCAGATTGGAGGCTGAGGTCAGGGTGGAGGCTGAGGTCAGATTGGAGGCTGGGTCAGATTGGAGGCTGGGTCAGGGTGGAGGCTGGGTCAGGGTGGAGGCTGGGTCAGGGTGGAGGCTGGGTCAGATTGGAGGCTGAGGTCAGATTGGAGGCTGAGGTCAGGGTGGAGGCTGAGGTCAGGGTGGAGGCTGAGGTCAGGGTGGAGGCTGAGGTCAGATTGGAGGCTGGGTCAGATTGGAGGCTGGGTCAGGGTGGAGGCTGGGTCAGATTGGAGGCTGAGGTCAGATTGGAGGCTGGGTCAGGGTGGAGGCTGAGGTCAGATTGGAGGCTGGGTCAGATTGGAGGCTGAGGTCAGGGTGGAGGCTGGGTCAGGGTGGAGGCTGAGGTCAGGGTGGAGGCTGAGGTCAGATTGGAGGCTGGGTCAAGGTGGAGGCTGGGTCAGATTGGAGGCTGAGGTCAGGGTGGAGGTTGGGTCAGGGTGGAGGCTGGGTCAGGGTGGAGGCTGGGTCAGATTGGAGGCTGGGTCAGGGTGGAGGCTGAGGTCAGGGTGGAGGCTGAGGTCAGGGTGGAGGCTGGGTCAGATTGGAGGCTGAGGTCAGGGTGGAGGCTGGGTCAGGGTGGAGGCTGGGTCAGATTGGAGGCTGAGGTCAGATTGGAGGCTGAGGTCAGGGTGGAGGCTGGGTCAGGGTGGAGGCTGAGGTCAGGGTGGAGGCTGAGGTCAGGGTGGAGGCTGGGTCAGGGTGGAGGCTGGGTCAGATTGGAGGCTGAGGTCAGGGTGGAGGCTGAGGTCAGATTGGAGGCTGAGGTCAGGGTGGAGGCTGGGTCAGGGTGGAGGCTGGGTCAGGGTGGAGGAGGCTGGGTCAGGGTGGAGGCTGAGGTCAGATTGGAGGCTGGGTCAGATTGGAGGCTGAGGTCAGGGTAGAGGCTGGGTCAGGGTGGAGGAGGCTGGGTCAGGGTGGAGGCGGGTCAGGGTGGAGGCTGGGTCAGGGTGGAGGAGGCTGGGTCAGGGTGGAGGCTGGGTCAGGGTGGACGCTGGGTCAGGGTAGAGGCTGGATCAGGGTGGAGGAGGCTGGGTCAGGGTGGAGGCTGGGTTAGGGTGGAGGAGGCTGGGTCAGGGTGGAGGCTGGGTCAGGGTAGAAGAGGCTGGGTCAGGGTGGAGGCTGGGTCACGGTGGAGGCTGGGTCAGGGTAGAAGAGGCTGGGTCAGGGTGGAGGCTGGGTCAGGGTAGAGGCTGGGTCAGGGTAGAAGAGGCTGGGTCAGGGTGGAGGCTGGGACAGGGTAGAGGCTGGGTCAGGGTAGAAGAGGCTGGGTCAGGGTGGAGGCTGAGGTCAGATTGGAGGCTGGGTCAGATTGGAGGCTGAGGTCAGGGTAGAGGCTGGGTCAGGGTGGAGGAGGCTGGGTCAGGGTGGAGGCTGAGGTCAGATTGGAGGCTGGGTCAGATTGGAGGCTGAGGTCAGGGTAGAGGCTGGGTCAGGGTGGAGGAGGCTGGGTCAGGGTGGAGGCGGGTCAGGGTGGAGGCTGGGTCAGGGTGGAGGAGGCTGGGTCAGGGTGGAGGCTGGGTCAGGGTGGAGGAGGCTGGGTCAGGGTGGAGGCTGGGTCAGGGTGGACGCTGGGTCAGGGTAGAGGCTGGATCAGGGTGGAGGAGGCTGGGTCAGGGTGGAGGCTGGGTTAGGGTGGAGGAGGCTGGGTCAGGGTGGAGGCTGGGTCAGGGTAGAAGAGGCTGGGTCAGGGTGGAGGCTGGGTCAGGGTGGAGGCTGGGTCAGGGTAGAAGAGGCTGGGTCAGGGTGGAGGCTGGGTCAGGGTAGAGGCTGGGTCAGGGTAGAAGAGGCTGGGTCAGGGTGGAGGCTGGGACAGGGTAGAGGCTGGGTCAGGGTAGAAGAGGCTGGGTCAGGGTAGAAGAGGCTGGGTCAGGGTAGAAGAGGCTGGGTCAGGGTAGAAGAGGCTGGGTCAGGGTAGAAGAGGCTGGGTCAGGGTGGAGGCTGGGTCAGGCAGTACTTCTCTCTGCACCTCACAGAGTTCTCCGCTGAGCTGAAGGAACCATGCTCATCATAGCTCATCCCAGTGTCTAGACCAGAACCGTGTCTATCCCCAAGGATAGAATTCAGGCTACACAGACAAGCTACATACATATTTTAAAACTTTCTCACAGCCTGTTTTAAAAGAAACAGGAAAAGACTGACTATTTCATTCAACCCAGTCTGCCCAAACTATCATCATTTCAACACATAATCAACTCAACACATAACAACCCAGGCTGCTAGGTGGGTGCTCCGCCCTCAGCCACGTCTCCATGCCAAGATGTTATGTTTCTTTCCTTGAGTCTTTAAAAAGAAAAGGAGGGGAGGAGGGAGGCAGGGAGGGGGGAGGGAAGGAAGGAAGGAGGGAAGGAGGGAGGGAGGGAGGGAAGGAGGGAGGGAGGGAGGGAAGGAGGGAGGGAGGGAGGAGGGAAGGAAGGAAAAGTAACCAGAAAGCCTTTATTAGAGTTTCTATTGCTGTAATGAAACAGCATGACCGAAAGACAAGCTGGGGGAAAAGGGTTTGTTTGACTCACACTTCCATGTCACTGTTCATCACTGAAGGAAATGAGGACAGGAACCAAGCAGGACAGGAACCTGGAGGCAGGCGCTGATGCAGAGGCCGTGGAGGAGAGCTGCTCACAGGCTTGCTTCCCTTGGCTTGCTCAGTCTGCTTCCTTATAGAACCCAGGACCACCAGGCCAGGGATGACACCACTCACAATGGCCTGAGTCCTCCCTCCTCCATCAATCACTAAGAAAATGCCCCCACAGGCCTGCTTACAGTCCAATCTTAAGGAGGCATTTTCTTAACTGAGGCTCCCTCCTCTCACATGACTTCAGCTTGTGTCAAGTTGACATAAAACTAGGCAGCACAGCCATTAAATCAGAGATCTCTAATACATTTGAAACATGT